TACCATTCTTCAATCGCTGGCCCACCGGTGTCTATAATGGCAAGCTCCAAGGTCCTTCAGGGCATAGGGCCGAAAGCCAACTCACAAATAACAAATGTGAGTGGCTTATCAAAGACAAGAGGAAGCGGGTGGTCGAATCTTCAAGTTCTCTTGACCCTGGCCTATCAAGAAGCAGCTCCCGACAGATTTCTTGCAGCGCGCTTGTATTCGTTGGCTGAGGGCAGCGAAAACAGTCCTGCCAAGAACTTGGCAAAGCAAAGCAGCTAAATGCAGAACAGGACCCAGCATCGTTCAGTCCAAAACGTCAAAGTATCCGCGACTCGAACGCCCACAACCCCTTGACAGGGTGCAGCAAACGTCAGACCTGACATAGAAGTGTCCTGACATGCTGGCCTTCACGTGCCTTGGGCAGAGTCGGCTCTGATACGCGGACCCGTGAACCGCAATCAGTTTCGGCCTCACAGCCTGCAACCCATTGCGCATCACAACTAGCCACCATTCACAATGCAGCGGCAGAGCAGATTGGCCTGAAGCTGCGGCCGCAGACGCCCTGCCAAAGGCAGGGGTGAGGCAGAGAGGCGGCTAGCCTCCAAAGCCTTAGCTTCACAAAGCGTCACCTAAAATTGTGCAAACCTTGATCCCGGATGCAATGAGCTCCCACGAAAATCCTTCTTTGCTAGGCATCAACTTGTTGTGCTTGGTGCAGGATGAAATGCGCCCAGGACTTTCAAGTCAGGCGTTGCAGGTTTGGGGTTTAGAGTTTGGGAAAGCTTTAGGGTCCAGGATGTGAAGTCATGTTCTGGGCTTGGGTTTGCTTGGGGCTGGTAGCAATTCTACGGTTGGGGCTTTTGGGTCTTGTGTAGGTTTAGTGTTTAGCAGGTAAACATTTCAGTCTTGGTGCTTGGATTGCTCCAGGGTATGTACTCACTGTAGAATTCAAGATTTTACGCCCGTAGGGAAAGCGGGTTGAAGAGGCAGCTCAGGCAGCAAAGCAACAAACAAGTGTTAGCCATGACTCTTGTGAATGATTGGCAAACTTCATTGATCACAGATTCTGTGTTGTATCATGTTTGATGGCTTGTCGTGGCTCAAAGCTTGACCCTGGACCCCAAACCAACCAGTACATGTCCAGCTGTCATGCATCACCACAGCCTGACCACAGCTGCTATAAGCGAAGCAATGAAAAACATTGCACCTGCCACCAAAATCTGCAATAGCATCATTGTTGCCCAGAGGTCCTGGTGGAGCCACGCTACCGTGACAAATCTAAGGCCAACCTACGGCTTCGACCCACAGATTCTCTTCTGACACACCTTGTCTTCCTGCAGGTAAGGCAAATGCTATTGTGGGCCTCTTGAGCTTCTATAGCAAGTTCTTCATCACTTCCCACCACGCACTGCTCAACCAACGCTGGTTATGCTCACTGCTGGCAGAGATGCTTAACATCTAGGGTTGGTGAAGGGATTGGCGTTTACAGGCGTCCGACATCGACACATGTGACAGACGACAAGATCTAAACTTAGGAACAGGGTGTACAGGGCTGCACCCCAGCAGTCCCATATTGAATGGATTGCTGTAGCCTAAAACCCCAGCAAAGTAAGATTTTGGTGGCGCCCCAACCAATTCGATTTCCCCAGCATCCTCATCTGGATACCCTCCCTTTTGTCTGCGTTGCTTTTTCAGAAAAAAACAACCAAACCCTAGTTCTTTAAGTGATCTGAAAACAATCCCCAAAAACTGAATCGCCCCAGAACGAGAACATACCAAGCCATTTGTTCTATTAGCTCAGCGGCATGCCGCTCACCGAGAAGTTCATCCTCAGTGAAGACCATGAGGCGGTCCATCCCAAGAAAATGTGTGGTTCTACTGTCACATGAAATGGCGTCAAAATTACTTGTTTTTGCAGGTCTGGGAGGTATCGCTTTGGGCTATCGTTTTTTAGGGTGCCACGTATCGTTTTGCAGTGGTTTAACATCTCTTTTCTCATCGAACAACCACCCTTACCACTGTACAATAGCGGTAATTCTGACCCCGACTCAGATGAATTCATGTAGTCCTACCGGCATTGCCATTTGCTTTGCTGTTTCGAGCACTGGACAAGACAAGCTACAATAACCTGTCGCCGTCCATCGAAGCTGAGAACCACAGGAGGCCTCTCCTGCACTGAAGTTCCCCACATGCTTGATGCAGGTGTGCCAGAGGTGCATGCTGAGCGAACAGCTTGGAACCGGGCAACATGTAAGGCAACACGCTCTCCTCTGCAGCAGCTGTCTGGTACGGACGCCAACAGGCAGATGCAGCAGATGCAGCCTGCCACGGACAACCACAGAGAGAAGCCAAAACGAGAAATGCAAATGGTTTGTGTTTTTAGATATCTTCTGAGGCCTGCATCTTTGCGAAGGTCCCCTCAGCAACCTCGGGCAGAATCATGCAGTCTGCTGCTATGGGCTTAGAAAACCTGCAACGTCTCAGAGAAAAGCGAGACTTCATCAACAAGTATGTTGTCTTGCCAACGCATCATGCAGTAGAAACAGGTGACATGCAACTTCACAAGTCGTCATGACTAAGCTGCGTTTGTCGCCTGTGCCACGCCAGCAACAAACCTGCAAGTTGGCAACAGCTTGTGCAACAACTTGTGCTGCCGTTTTTACGTTCGGCTGCTTCGGTCCAGAACAGCCCATCTCCACCCAGGCACCATCAGCAAAAGCTTCTCCCTTTCCACGCCTCCTTGCCAAAAAGCCGCCACCGATGTACAGCTCCACAGCGAAGGAATTTCGCGGCTGGCATGTGAAGGTCAACCACGATACGCATTGCGCTGCATGTTGCAGAGTCTGCAAGTTCAGGTCGGGAACAGGATCCTGCCCGAAGCTAACAACCTGTGACTCTCACAAGACACAAGACGTTGAAAGCCATTGTAGAAGCATGCTAGACCCACCCTGTGTCGTCACAATGTTGCTCTGATTCAAGACATATCCAAGCCACGATCCAAGCCCGAATGAGAAGGACCCCGGATCAACTGCGTCATAAATCCGTCAACGCTTCAAGAGAAAGGTCCGTGGATGTTAAAACTGCAGAAGGGTTGGGTCTCAGCACGTGCACATAGACCAAACATGCATGCCTCCAACCTGCCCAGGCAGAGTCCTGCATAATTTCTGGAAACGTATCGTCCACAGCAGAGGGGTTCCTCAGCCAATCTGAATCTGGAAAAGAAATGGGGAACCAACTTGACAAGAGCCCTAGATAGCCCTAGCCAAAAGAGCTTTCTGGCTCCCATGGGTCTAAACCTCTGCATTGTCGCATGATATGCTGGCACGACTGCTGTCTGCGGGCTCTACGTCTCGAGGCTAATGACACATCATGTCAGGAACGGCTTACAGGCCCGAAGAAGCTTCCGCTAAGCACATGAAGCGCGGAAAAGTCCTATGAATTATTTTGACACATGTTTGCCAAGAGAGCAGCTTGATCTTTTGATTTGATGTTTATGAAGCACGCGCATCAACCAGAAGTGATACAATTGTCTGGCAATCTCATACAGGACGATACATACTTGTACAGCGCCCCCTCAAGGAGGCGGCTTACATGCCAGCAGTTGCATTGAGGGACTTCTGGCTTGTCGTCTAGGACTGAAGCTATGGTGTAGCGATTGTTGCAAACCCCCCTGAGCCCAGGCGTTCGATACCACAATCGCCTGGTAATGTTCCAGCCCGCAGTGCGAAAACCATTGCTCGTTTGGAAAATGCGCTACTGTCGTCCAGTCTAGTCGTACACCAGCATGGGGAAAAGCACGAAGTCGAAAAGCCGCATCCAGATCAAGAGCAAAAATCCAAAAACTGGATGCAAACGATGGACACTGCGACCCCAAGAAGACAGTGAAGAAACAATAGCCTAAACTAGGAAAGCCATTCGCATGGTTCAGCTTGATGGTCTGGGTCTGAATTTCACGTTTTTGAACTGGAAGAGCTGGGAAGCTGTATCTGCCAAATGCCACTGCCCAATCTACTGTTAATTTCATTCAAGAACATCTGTTTTGCATCGTCTTTGGCTTAAACTGTGTTTCTGCCGATTTTCTGTCATCTTTCCAGTCTGCAAACCAAACAATCCGTTTGATTTCTTGCCCGGACTCTTGCTCTTGCTACCTTCCGGGCGAACCGTCAGGCCATCATCCCCAACCTTCACCTTCCTCCCATATCCAAAACCCGAATTCTCTGGATAGCATGCCACCGTACTCATATATGGGAAGGAAATGGCTTCCTGATTCACACCTCTAATTCAGCGAGGAATCAGCCAGGCATATCCTCCTTCGCTTCTGGACAAATCCTCCAATTTTGTGCGTGTGACCGGGTACAGCTGCAATGACAACATGTCCCAAGGCTGCAGGACTCTACACTCTGGACGCGCACAACTGGCAAACAAATCTTAAACGATCTGCTGATCCTCCACACACCTCTTCAGCGTAGCTGTCATCGCTTCTTGGTGCTGCTTCGCATCCAACCTCTAGCAGGCTCATCACAAAGCAGTGCTACTCTATGAATGCACCCGGCAGCTTTTACACATCGAATGCGGAGCTCCAACAAAACCAGCTTGGTCGCGAGGGGCGCCAAAATGCAACAAGCCCTGAAGGGTAGCCACATAGCCCTGCTAATGCTTCATAGCGTCGACAGTGCCAGCGTACTCTTCCCCACCAAATCCAGAATGAGTCCACGAAAAAAGCCAATTTGCATGCTGGTTTGCAAGGCCACGTATGTTGGCTGGTATGCAGCCACAAATCCTGATTGTGCAAGAGCACAATCCTCTTGGCAAGTGCTGCATGAAGTTTGTCATTTGCGCTTTCTTTCCCTTTGAGCCGTCCATACAGCCACGCTTCACTGCAGCTTCCTTTGCCAAATGTTTATGCAGCCGCTGCTGACACATCACTTCAGGTTAGAGACACGTGCAACCACAAGCAATCAGAAAAAAGTGTGACAGATCGCTCTGAAGCCGTTTGAACAAGATGCTGCAGCCTCCTCAGCAGTGAGCCGCCAACGCTTCTTGGCAGCCTGTGCAAGTTTGACATCAGGAAGGAGGAGCCATCGTGATCATACGTTATTTACATGCATGCTTCGCGGTTGCATGTAGCACCGTCTAATAGGATCGTCTGTGCAACATGAGATGTGTGCCAGCCGTACTGGTTGTAATGATGAGCTTGCTGTCATCTAGATTCCTCGCGAGGCCTAGCCCTAACAGCAAGCAACCGCCTTCTCTAACTGAGGTGTTCGGAAGACCACAACCAGACCATCGATGACACTCAGCATCTCCACAAAGATCTTAGCTGCAAGGATCTGCAATTTCTAGCACCAGTAGCTGCAAAGTTTACTTCGAGCATGCCCACCCTAAAGTGTGGTTGTCGTGCATTTGGGCTTATTGACCAATTCCGGTTCATCTCAGCCAATTCTTGGGGACACAAAAGTTTGAGATTGTGCCTTCCAAGGGTGGCCGTTTCAAAGGGCCGTTTCAAGGGGCCTCAAGGGGCCTGGTCAGGCCTGCATAGGGTCCCCTTGGAAGATTTACAAGCGCGAGATAAAATCCTTTGACGGGTTATACGGCCTACATAGCGTCCCTTTCAAGAGGACACACGGGCAATCAATGAACGGACTCTTACAAAGGTTGCAAGCACTGCGGGGTCGGGCACCGCAGGGATACTGCGGGGTTGGGCAGTGCAGGGATATTCTGCCGTTGGGTATTTTGCCATTGAGCACGGCAAGGATACTCTGCGGTTGCATGTTTTGCGGTTGTGAGGGGCAATGCAATTGGGCACTGTGTCAATGCACAGATACTCTGCAGTTGGGCACTGCTGCGATACTATGCGGACATTTTGCAGGAAGGCGCTGCACACGGGGCGAGGAGAACATAGACTTCTCAACATCTACCAACCTCACTGCGAGGGTGGCGACAAACCAAATTGTCAAGATGTGCGAGCTGGTGATTGTTCCGGCAAGCGCCAACATCCTCAGCTGCCTCAGTCGTCCTGCTATGTCCTGCCAACATCTTAGACTCGGTTCATCGTTACAATCATTCTTCTGCTGGCCAGTGGCGCGCGCCAGCTCACGGTCGCCTCTTGCTACTTCCTCCAGATCAATAAACACTCCTCGACACCAAACTTGAAAATGTGACAACGGTAACAACGCATCGTGTGCCATCGCGATGCGCCTTCAGCACCACCTTTTTCCTTGAGCAACTGCAGAATGCATCAAAGAAGTCTCACACTCACTGCTGCTCGTTCAAAAGACATTGCCCAAGCCGAGCTGCTCCTCACCCGCTGCCCACGCTTTTGCGCGGTCCTTGTTCTCAACACCAAGCCTGAGGCTGTTTTTCAAAGGCTGAGCTGAGCAGAAAGCAGAAGTCGTGGCAAGAAGGGCAAGTACAAAAGCTAGGCAGCTAGGCACACACTGTGCACATGAACGCAAATGTGTGTATGTAGGTGTTAAGTGGCTCGAAGGACGGCGGTAGCTCAACATCTAGGCGGCTGCACCTGCAAATCAACAGGAGCCAAGTCTATGCTGCGCAATCGGCAGCCATGAAGCTTTGGCGCTGTGCTGCCTGGAATTCAAAGCGTTCTCTGTGCTGCTCTTCAACCCGGCTACCACAGCCTCAACATCCTGTCAGAGCAGTGAGCACGCCACAGCACAAACACTACAAGTGATTATACACTTCTGACTTCGGAATGCTGATGCTACGAATCATCATTCACCAAATGCCAAGGGTTGCCGATTCAATTGCCTGTCACTTGGACATCAGGCCTTGTCAGAAAAGATTTCATCCTGCCAAATTGCCATCATAAAGTTATGGCGGCCTTCGGCACTTCCAACTTGGTGTCTTCCTCTCCACTTCCGAAGAGGCTTCCTGCTTTCAATTGCATATCCTGCCCTACTGCTACTGCTGCTTCTGAGACAAAACGAACTCAAACAAGACGACCCAACTAAGCATCCAAGGCAAGCACCTGCCTATGTTGAAAGCTGCGCGATGTACTTTGCCATGACCTACTGCACACATGTAGCTATTAACTAGTTCAGTCGGCACCACTGGAAACTTCAAGGTACGGACGTATCGCCAGGAATCCGCAGCACCAAGAAGCCAGCCTGACCGACTACAATACTCCCAAATGAATGCAACTACAAATACACACCTTCAATTTGAGCTGTAACATCAACTATAGACATTATTCAAAGTAGCGTCGGATGCTGCAAGGCCTTGTGTGGAGTACCACCATGCACATAATCAGCAACCGGCACAGCCTCACAGCAGGAAAACAAAACTCAACAGCTGTATGTGAAACATGGCAACTTCCTGCAATGTGCTGCTAGAAAAAGTAATCTGCACATCCGTCGTTACCAGGTCCAAGACAACAACAAAGCCCCTAACATTTGTTTTGTCACGGCACGCCGCCATGGCAGCAACATGAACAGACCAATGCAGAATAACGTTGAACCTTTTATTCTGTCCCTGTGTGCAATTACAATCCTTTATAAACGGCGTTGACTCAATTGTAGGTACCAAAAAGGGATCTTGCACAGTGAGCATTCATTGTTATTGTGCACGACGTTATGACGAACAAGGTCGCGGCTGACACACCGTTGTGAAGCACACGGTTTTAAAACAAGTCGCCCAAAGATTTCAAGCCTTGCAATTTGAACGCAAAAACGTCCCAATGAAGCAAGTGACAAAAACTGCGGTGAACTAGGTGAGGCATTTCGTCTTGCCCGAACTACGGAACCGTTTCCAGGCAGCGCAAGGTTTGGAAATGTGACATTTATGTGCATGGGATTGCTACTGAACCCTTCAAAAGTTCAACAAACAAATTAGCAACCATCGTATGCTTTCGAAGGTTGACGTGGTAATGAATCAGGGCAAACCAGTCATAGGCACCGTGCAAGGGAACGCGCTCCGAGCTTGATGCATTCAGTGCTTCATTGTTTGATCAAATGGGTTGATTGATTGATGACTGTTTTTGTGTGCATACAAGCTGAACAACGCACCTCGTACTTCCCGAACTGAGCTGTGGGGCGCAACTGACTAACAAGCAGCGACCCCAACTGACACAAAATTTCAGTCTTAGTAAAAGGCGTGAAGAAGCCTGGCTTGTCCCTTAAAAACCAGGACTTGCAAAATCATTGGACCTCGAGCCATTCGCTTTCAATCTGCCCGATACCACACTGACATTCCTTCTTCCTGATAGTCAGGTTCACACCCACACTGGTTGTGTTTAACTCAGATACATATGCTCCGTGCGCATGACTGTCATGTGGCTGTATCAGCTGCTAAAGCTCAAGATCAAAACTACTGACGAACGCAGGTTAGCAACTTGCTTAGCTCAGACACCAGACTTTAGATTTGTGAGGCTGAGACTTACCACTTCTCTGTTCAGATTCAAAATACATGGCCTGATGTGTTTTTGCCAATGACGCTAGCGTCACTTGCGATTGATAGTTTAGTTGCGAGAAATTCTTCCGGATTTTTGGATTTGGGGAGAGAGAATTGTGTTGTCAACGCAGTGCGCGCACCTGGACAAAGTGAACTAGAAGACCTGCCGACAAGGAAGGGCCTTGAACGAAGTTCCCGTCCCTGGCAGCCCGTCTGAAAAACCAACTGAACGTGTTCAGCGACCTTCTCAACGAATCTCGCCCACAGCAGACGGCGCAGCTAGATACATCGGAGAAGCGAACGACGTTTTTTTTGACATTGTGCGCCTCGAGCTTTCCCAGCATGGGATTAGAAGGACCACCAGTCGCAAAGGATGTGAACATCTTTACTCTTATCAAGTTGCTTGCGACCGGCAAGGGCGCTTTGCGCTATTGGAAGACTTGGACAGGTCAAGGCCTCGAGCCTTGACTGATTGCCTTCCAGCAGTAGCGAGCATATGCAGGATGCTGCCTTCAGACTTAGGCAGTGCGCCAAGCTGGCTCTTGGTTGGGGCCCCTGCTAGTTCTTCGGAGAACAAGCTGATGCACGTGCATGTTCGTCTTTTACATTTTAATTCGAGATATTCCATACACTTGAACTTGAGTTTGATGTGTTTGAGATTGGGAAAAACATCCGATTTGAATTGATTTTCGTTTTGGGCCACCCAAAAATTCGAGTGAACCGTAGACTTGAAAACAGGTGGGTTGGGCGGAAGCGAGCGGGCAGGGAATCGAAGACAAAACTTGGCTCAGAACAGTGCGTTTTTTTCAGAAAAATGTTGGGAGGTTTTTGGATCACTGAAATTGCAATGCAGCCATGATATTTTGAAAGTCCACGCATTCGGATTTTGTCAGTGTTTGCTGGGCTTTGGCGACTACGTCCCGGAGCTCCAAGCTGCCATGCTCGTAATGGTACAGGTTCCGAGAAATGACATTTTCGTGCTTACATCACGGAGTTTAGCAGCACAGCGCCAGGATTTCCACGTGTGGATATGTAGCTGTAGTTCTCCGAACCATTAGTTTGATCCGGGTGGAGGGCGACAAGGACTCAACCTTGCGACATGTACGGGATTTTGTCAGAGGCCCTCTATGGTTGCATGTTTGTTGCATGTTTTCCAAAGATTAAGCTTTGTCCCGCGGTTGATAAGGTTGTGAAGCCGACTGTGCATATCTTCAAAGAAAACTCGAGAGATCAGGCAAAAGGTGTGCTAAACTGACACGCCTTGTGAAAGTTGGCAAAAT